CAGAATAGGGCGTTGTGGAATACAGAATGTACAGCACAGTGTATAGAATAAGGCGGTGTGGAATACGGAATGTACAGCACAGTATACAGAATAAGGCGGTGTGGAATACGGAATGTACAGCATAGTGTACAGAATAAGGCGGTGTGGAATATGGAATGTACAGCACAGTGTACAGAATAAGGGGGTGTGGAGTACGAAATGTACAGCACAGTGTACAGAATACGGCTTTCTGGAATACAGAATGTACAGCACAGTGTACAGAATAAGGCGGTGTGGAATACGGAATGTACAGCACAGTGTACAGAATAAGGGGGTGTAGAATATGGAATGTACAGCACAGTGTACAGAATAAGGCGGTGTGGAGTACGGAATGTACAGCACAGTGTACAGAATACGGCGTTCTGGAATACAGAATGTACAGCACAGTGTACAGAATAAGGCGGTGTGGAATACGGAATGTACAGCACAGTGTACAGAATAAGGCGGTGTGGAATACGGAATGTACAGCACAGTGTACAGAATAAGGGGGTGTAGAATATGGAATGTACAGCACAGTGTACAGAATAAGGCGGTGTGGAGTACGGAATGTACAGCACAGTGTACAGAATACGGCGTTCTGGAATACAGAATGTACAGCACAGTGTACAGAATAAGGCGGTGTGGAATACGGAATGTACAGCACAGTGTACAGAATAAGGCGGTGTGGAATATGGAATGTACAGCACAGTGTACAGAATAAGGCGGTGTGGAGTACGGAATGTACAGCACAGTGTACAGAATACGGCGTTCTGGAATACAGAATGTACAGCACAGTGTACAGAATAAGGCGGTGTGGAATACGGAATGTACAGCACAGTGTACAGAATAAGGGGGTGTAGAATATGGAATGTACAGCACAGTGTACAGAATAAGGCGGTGTGGAGTACGGAATGTACAGCACAGTGTACAGAATACGGCGTTCTGGAATACAGAATGTACAGCACAGTGTACAGAATAAGGCGGTGTGGAATACGGAATGTACAGCACAGTGTACAGAATAAGGCGGTGTGGAATATGGAATGTACAGCACAGTGTACAGAATAAGGCGGTGTGGAGTACGGAATGTACAGCACAGTGTACAGAATACGGCGTTCTGGAATACAGAATGTACAGCACAGTGTACAGAATAAGGCGGTGTGGAATACGGAATGTACAGCACAGTGTACAGAATAAGGGGGTGTAGAATATGGAATGTACAGCACAGTGTACAGAATAAGGCGGTGTGGAATACGGAATGTACAGTATTGTATACAGTCACACACAGGGTCCTGGAGAAGTGACACTTTCTGGACCTGGAAAGGGATCCTTCTGCTGCTGGTGCTTCTGGCCAAAAAGCTTATCAGCCACTAATTCAGATCTTGAAGATTAAGATAACAACTCAATACATATATTGTTTTTTTAAGGACAAACAATGCTTTCTTTTTCATGAATATTGTCAATGATAATAATTATATTTTTTCTCAATCCCTAGACAATTAAATGAAGCACAACTAAAAAAAATGCACTATTTTTTTTGAGCAGTGTTAGCGTAAAAATAAATAGTGTTACTGCACATTAAAAGATTTTTATTCTTTACTTTGTCCTATTTAAAATTACACTAAAATTATGATTCTGGTACAAAGCATTGAAAAGTTATTTACAAATTAAATACATTTATTTTTTTCAATTTTGCGCTTTTTTTTCAATGTGAAATCTGCAAATATATGTTAAAGGTGTAAAACTATTAACAAAAAAAAGCAAACAAAAACAGCAAAAAAAAGTTTTAAATATTATTAGTTTATAAAATAGAAATTAACAAAAAAAGAATTAGCAAGAAAGTAATAATTAAATGGAGAAGGAGAATAGGGAGTTAATTAGGGCTGATTAGAGTAAATTAAGGGTTAATAAGGGGTTAAACAGATGAACGTTTAATAAAAAAAAATCTAATTTTGTCTTACTTGACAGGTTGCTTTTAATTGACCTTTGATCTGTAGATGAATAAACAGAAAGATACAAAATGAAACAATGTTCTTTTTTATCTTTCACACATGTGCGGTGCGGACTGAAGCTCAGGTTTCAAAGCTAATTGATACAGTAGATGTTCAGTGGTTCAGGTCAGATTTACATCAGGTTCAGGACAGGCTCAGGTCAGGATTTTATCCTGTTCACACGTGTGGTTTAGAAATGGTTCCCCTAGAAGTCAGTAGCCTATAATCTGCAACAGAACTGGACCACGCTGTTCAGAAATCGGACATGACTCTTTTTAAAATTGCACTGAATCCGCACCGCCAGTGCACCAGACATATGTGAACAAGCACCATAGGAAGCAATGTTATTTCACATGTCATGCAGATTGAATGCGGTTCAAACCGCATCCAATCCGTATAAATATGTGAAACAGCACCGAGCCAGAGTTCACATATATGCAGTATGGTATATCGCATGTGATTCGCAAAGGAACTGTACCGCATTCCTGTGCAAATCACATGCGATTTGTGTGCGGTGCGATCGGAGCCGTACATTTTGAATGGCTCTATTCCAACCGCACACGCACCAAAAAGGTGCAGGACCCTTTTTTTTGTCCGCACTAGAATCGGATGACATGGATATTCACACCTATGCGATCCGATTCTGCACATCGCACCAGTTTTTCGGACTGCTTTTGGGGTGTTGTTAACTCAACATACACACCCGCAGCGGTTCGCATGAACGAGGTGCGATTCTGATGCGGTGCGGAATTCACAGAGAAAACGCTGCAAATTCCGCACCGCATCAGTGTGAACCAGGGCTCAGTGTTGCTTTTTTTTGACAGCTCCAATTGCCGAGACGTTTCTTTTGTTTACCCTTCAGATATCAACAGGGGAACCCTACTGACAGCTGCATGTGTCATTGGTTGTTAAGGACACGGTACCCCTGCTCCCTAACAACTAATAATTAATGGGGGTTTTTCTTGTTTACATTTCAGCTGTAACAGAACTGAATTGTAATTGTAGTTCAAATTAGTACAACAAACCAGGAAGGCAACCTGACTGGGCGCCGACTGGGCAGAGAATGTTGCGTCTGTCTCGAGGGATGGAATGTGGCCTGGCCGGTCTGTGCCCAAATGGGGAGGCTTCCAGGAAGGTTAGTGTGTACCTTCTCATCTGGAACCTCTCCCTACCGCTAATACTGTCCCTGATAGACAGGCGACCTGTCCCTACATTACCCACACGTGAAATGCACATCAAGCCTGTCAGCCAGAGTCTTAAATAGACTCTGCCTGACCCAAGATGGCAGTCGGAGTCACATGGGATGGCAGCATCCAATCAGATAGTTTCCCCTATGACCCAAGAAACTATAGAGAAACCATGTTCCTCTTGACCTCATCTCCCTCTGCAATGCTGCTGTGGTTGTGTGCCACCTACAGTGGAGAAAGTAGACTGCACCTGCCTATACCCTGATCTGCATACTTGTTTGGAGTCTGTGCTTCTGAAAGTACTAAAATGACTTAGACCTGATTCACACTAATGCGAATCCTGTGCGTTTCCTGTACCAAATTGTAATCGCACGGCGTCCATGCAGTCTGGAGTGGTGTCAGTGGTAAGGTATTGACACCCCGAAACAGATTGCAAAACTCTGTGTGATTGCCAGAAATTGGATCCCATGGGTGAGAACACTCATGCGATGCGAATCAGGTGTGGTTAAAAAACGGTCCAGCACCATTTTGCTGTGAATGTGATGTGATTTGAGTAATACCGTACCAAGGTGTGATTCCTGTGTGAATCATGTGGTATCCCACACCGCACCGCACCAGTGTGAACCTAGACTAATGCAGGCCATAGATGGGTCGAAAATCGGCCGATTTTTTCGGCCGAAAATAAAATCGGCCGATTTTCGGATCGTTAGTGGGCGATTTGGTCGGCCGTTTTTTCGGTATTTTGGCCGTTTTTTTTTCCCCGGTAAAGTTGGAAAAAAAATCGGCCGATTTTGCCGATCGGCCGATTTTCGCGGCAATTAGTGGGCAAATCGGCCGATTTTTTACCGATAAAAAATCTGCGCATGAGCAGTGACCTGCAAGAGGAAGACAAAAAGAAGAAAAAGAAGAAGACGATGAAGAAGAAGAAGAGGAGAGAAGAAGAGGATGAAGAAGAAGAGGATGAGGATGAAGAAGAAGAAGAGGATGAGGATGAAGAAGAAGAAGAGGATGAGGATGATGATGAAGAAGAGGATGAGGATGATGAAGAAGAAGAGGATGAGGATGAGGAAGAAGAAGAGGATGAGGATGAGGAAGAAGAAGAGGATGAGGATGATGAAGAAGAAGAAGATGAAGAAGAGGATGAGGATGAAGAAGAAGAAGAAGAGGATGAGGATGATGATGAAGAAGAATAGGATGAGGATGCAGAAGAAGAAGAGGATGAGGATGATGAAGAAGAAGAGGATGAGGATGAAGAAGAAGAGGATGAGGATGATGAAGAAGAAGAGGATGAGGATGAAGAAGAGGATGAGGATAAAGAAGAAGAAGAAGAAGAGGATGAGGATGAAGAAGAGGATGAGGATGAAGAAGAAGAAGAGGATGAGGATGAAGAAGAAGAAGAAGAGGATGAGGATGAAGAAGAAGAAGAGGATGAGGATGAAGAAGAAGAAGAAGAAGAAGAAGAAGGATGAAAATAAGAAGAATTCCAGTCCAGCAAAAAGTGTCTCTGCAGAGAGCTCCGCTATTTCTGACATTTCTCTGACAGTTCCTTGACATTTACAGCGGTTGAAACATTGTATCTATTTGTTTCCGAATAAAAACATCTGTATCCTAAATGGAAACAAATAGATACATTGTTGCAACTTCTATAAATGTCAAGGAACTGTCAAAGAACTGTCAAAGAAATAGCAGAGCTCTCTGCAGGGACACTTTTTGCCGGCTCTAGACGGGTAGAAAATCGGCCGATTTTTTTTTACCATTGATGGTAACGTCGGCCACTTGAACAACCGATTTTTTCGTTTTTTAAAAGAAAAAAATCTGCAGTTTTTCTCCCCATCTATGGCCTGCATAAGGCTGTCCATACACTATACAATTTTCTGTTCAATTTCTGCCCAATTTCCTTTAGATTTACCTTCAACTATGTAGTGCAAGGGCCTGCCTAATTGGATACAATTGAAAGTGTTGTTAGGTTTGACCTCATATTATATGGTTTTTGGTAAATCTAAAGCAATTTTCTAAGGAATAATGTATAATGTATACAATATAATAGGAGGTCAAACCTAACAACACTTTCAATTGTATCCAATTAGACAGGCCCTTGCATTACAAAGTTGAAGGTAAATCTAAAGGAAATTGGGCAGAAATTGGACAGAAAATTGTATAGTGTATGGCCAGCCTTACAGAGCCTCCTTTTGCAGGCAAAGAACACCAAGGTCCTGCGTTGTCAGACGGCTATGCATGCTCCTTCTATTAACTGCTGTACCTCCTATTAGCAGGCCAACAGGTTTATTTGATTAAGAAAACTATATACACAGAGGCAAGAGGCCAGATCTACTGAAACATATTGTAGATTTAGGGATTTCATACACTTCGGTGTTTGCAAAGGCATCATTTTTATTTTTTAAAAATAACAAACATGTCATACTTACATGTTCTGTGGTTTTGCACAGAGCAGCCCTGACCCTCCTCTTCTCAGGTCCCCCTCCAGTGCTCTGGGCTCCTTCCCCCTGCCAAATGCACCCAGAGTACGCTGCATGCTATGGGGGCACTCGTGCATGCTCGCTCCTAAGCCATGCTCCAGTGTCCACAAGACACAGAGAGCACAGTTCAGCCCCGCCCCTGCTCCCTCCTCATTGGCTATATTGACAGCAGTGGGAGCTAATGACTCCTGCTGCTGTCTTTCAGCCAATGAGGAGAGAGAGAGACCTGGGAGAGCCACTGCTCTCGTGTGGTATCGGGCTCAGGTAAGTATAAAGGGGTGCTGGGGCTGCACACTGAATGTTTTTTTAACTTCATACATAGATTGCATGAAGATAAAAACACTATCACCTCTTAGAACCACTTTAACCATTTGCCCTCCAGAGGATGGCCTGGTCAGGAAGGTGGGGGGGGACCTTCCTGACCAGGCCATTTTTTGCGATATGGTGCTGCGTTTATTTAACTGACAATTGTGCGGTCATGCAACGCTGCACCCAAATTTAATTTATTTCCTTTTCTCCCCACAAATTGAGCTTTCTTTTGGTGGTATTTGATCACCTGTGCGGTTTTTATTTTTTGCGCTATAAACAAAAAAAAGATCGACAATTTTGAGAAAAAAAATATTTTTTACTTTTTGCTATTAAACATAGCCAGTAAAAAAAGTTTGAAAAATTAAATTTTGTCATAAATTTAGGCCAAAATGTACTCTGCGACATGTCTTTGCTAAAAAAAAAAATCCCAATAAGTGTAAATTAATTGGTTTATGTGAAAGTTATAGCATTTACAAATGGCGGTATATATACTGGGATTTTTTTTAAATTTTTACTAGCAATGGCGGCGATCAGCAACTTATAGCAGGCCTGTGGCAGACATTTTGATACTGGGGGGGAACTGACTATCTGCCACTGACATCCTCAGTGACACCAATACAGTGATCAGTGCTAATAAAAAGCACTGACACTGTACTAATGACACTGGGCAGGAAGGGGTTAACATCAGGGGCGATCAAAGGGTTAACTGTGGCTGTTTTACTGTGTGCTGGGTGTGTTTTATAGTGTAAGCACGCTGCTTTGTATGGCTCTGCTATGCAGAGTCATACAAAGCAGTGTTCTGGAGCTGACAGGCGACAGATCTGTATTGTTTACATACAGACTTCTTCCCCGTCAGTGTTCCTTGGTGATCGCCGGGTGCTAGCGGGGAATCACCGGCCGGGACCTGGTGATTGACAGCTGAATCGCCAATTGCGGTGTGGGTAATGCAAAAGCACATATATACACGTGATTTTGCGCAGCCCTGATGCCCTGTAGCGGTATTTCTGCTATAGGGCGGGGGGCAAGCAGTTATTGATTAGTGAACCAGTCAGACCCTGCAGTGATTACACGAAAGGCAGTGGGGGGTAGATGTAGGTGGGAAGGAAGTGTGATCATTGAGGATGAGAAGTAAAGAGCTGGGTGGTCAGGTTATGATAACATTGTAGGATAATAATACATTGTTCTGTTTCTTTTCATCCTTTTCCATGTTTCCTTCTTTTTCAGGGAACTCCTGTGAAGTGCACATTGAACAGGATGTGGATTTTGTATTATTTGGACAAACAGTTATATTGAATTGCACCAGCGATTGTACAAATCTTTCTTGGGAAACCAGACTGACCAAAGTAAGAGTATCTCCCGACAAGATGGCCAACTTCTCATGGGTTGAAGTCAGAGTCAGTGAGTGGGAAGACTCACCTATAACATGCCTGGCAACTGATGACGACCGACACCTGGCCAGAGTGATACCTTATAGTATGTTCTACTTATAGATGTCGTGTAATCAGCATGCTTCTTCAGTGCAAATATAGGAAAGAAGCTCCAATGTGTATGCCAAAATCTAATATGGAAAAAATTTGTTTTATTCTTTCACATGTAAACATTGTTAAAAAAGAAAATTGGATTCCCTTAATTTCTTTTTGAAAATCATTTTAAATCCCACAGTATTGTCAGATTGTCATAACATCCAAAATTGATTCTTTCTTGAAGGGTCAGAGTCAGGTCTATCACATGTTCATAGAGTCATAAAGCCAGAAATATATATATACAGTTGCAAGAAAAAGTATGTGAACCCCTTGGGATTACGTGGAGTTTTGCATGAATTGGGCATAAAATGTGCTCTGAACGTCATCTAAGTCACAACAATAGAAGAACACAGTCTGCTGAACATAATACTACACAAACATTAGATGTTGCCATGGTTTAATTGCACATAATATGTAAACATTCACAGTGCAGGGAGGAAAAAGTATGTGAACCTTTGGACTTAATAACAGTTTGACCCTCCTTTGGCAGCAATAACCTCAACCAAACGTTTCCTGTAGTTGCAGATCAGACCTGCACAACGATCTGGAGTAATTTTGGACCACTCCTCTTCACAAAACTGTTTCAGTGTAGCAATATTCTTGGGATGTCTGGTGTGAATCGCTCTCTTAAGGTCACGCCACAGCATTTCAATCAGGTTGAGGTCAGGACTCTGACTGGGCCACTCCAGAAGGCGTATTCTGTGCTGTTGCAGCCACTGTTTTGTTGAATTACTTGTATGCTTTGGGTCATTGTCCTGTTGCATCACCCATCCTCTACGGAGCTTCAGTTGGCAGACAGATGGTCGTACGTTTTCCTGCAAAATGTCTTGATAAACTCTGGAATTCATTTTCCCATTAATGACAACAATCCGTCCAGGCCCTGAGGCAGCAAAGCAGCCCCAAACCATGATGCTCCCTCCGCCATGTTTCACAGTGGGGATGAGGGTTTGATGTTGGTGTGCTGTGCCTTTTTTCCTCCACACATAGTGTTGTGTGTGTTCTTCCCAAACAACTCAATCTCGGTTTCATCTGTCCACAGTGTATTTTGCCAGTAGTGCTGTGGAACATCCAGGTGCTCTTTTGCAAACTTCAAACGTGCTATAATATTCCTTTTGGACAGCAATGGCTTCCTACGTGGTGTCCTCCCATGTACTCCATTCTTGTTTAATGTTTTCCTTATTGTAGATGTGTCAACAAAAATGTTAGCATGTGCCAGAGATTTCTGTAGGTCTTTAGCTGACACTCTGGGATTCTTCTTTACCTCATGCAGCATTCTGCGCTGTGCTCTTGCAGTCATTTTTACAGGACGACCACACCTAGGGAGAGTAGCAACAGTGCTAAACTTTCTCCATTTGTAGACAGTCTGTCTTACTGTGGACACATGAACATCAAGGCTTTTGGAGATACTTTTGTAACCCTTTCCAGCTTCATGCAAGTCAACAATTATTGATCGTAGGTCTTCTGAGAGCTCTTTTCTGCGAGGCATGGCTCACATCAGACAGTACTTCTTGAAACCAGTAAACCCAAAGCAGGTGTGTGTTTTTTAAGGGCAGGACAGCTGTCAGCAACACATCCAATATCATCACACTGATTGGAGTCAAGGTTGGCTCACTCCTGGCTCTAAATAGCTCTGGGAGAAGTCATTAAGCTAGGGGTTCACATACTTTTTCCTCCCTGCACTGTGAATCTTTACATGTTATGTGCAATTAAACCATGGCAACATCTAATGTTTGTGTAGTATTATGTTCAGCAGACTGTGTTCTTCTATTGTTGTGACTTAGATGACGTTCAGAGCACATTTTATGCCCAATTCATGCAAAACTCCACGTAATCCCAAGGGGTTCACATACTTTTTCTTGCAACTGTATATATATATATATATATATACACTATATTGCCAAATGTGTTGGGCCACCCCTTCAAATCATTGGATTCAGGTGTTCCAATCACCTCCATGGCCTCAGGTGTATAAAATAAAGCACCTAGGCATGCAGACTGCTTCTACAAACATTTATGAAAGAATGGGTCGCTCTCAGGAGCTCAGTGAATTCAAGTGTGGTACTGTGATGACGCTTGACACCACCTGAACCAAATCAGTTGATCTTGTTGTCATCAGACCACAGGACGTGGTTCCAATAATCCATGTCCTTAGTCTGCTTGTCTTCAGCAAACTGTTTGCAGGCTTTCTTGTGCATCATCTTTAGAAGAGGCTTCCTTCTGGGACGACAGCCATGCAGACCAATTTGGTGCAGTGTGCGGTGTATGGTCTGAGCACTGACAGGCTGACCCCCCACCCCTTCAATCTCTGCAGCAATGCTGGCAGCACTCATACATCTATTTCCCAAAGACAACCTCTGGATATGACGCTGAGCACGTGCACTCAACCTCTTTGGCTGACCATGGCGAGGCCTGTTTTGAGTGGAACCTGGCCTGTTAAACCGCTGCATGGTCTTGGCCACTGTGCTGCAGCTCAGTTTCAGGGTCTTGGCAATCTTCTTATAGCCTAGGCCATCTTTATGTAGAATAACAATTCTTTTTTTCAGATCCTCCGAGAGTTCTTTGCCATGAGGTGCCATGTTGAACTTCCAGTGAACAGTAGGAGAGAGTGACAGCGATAACACCAAATTTAATACTCCTGCTCCCCATTCACACCTGAGACCTTGTAACACTAACGAGTCACAGGACATCGGGGAGGGAAAATGGCTAATTGGGCCCAATTTGGACATTGTCACTTAGGGGTGTACTCACTTTTGTTGTTAGACATTAATGGCGGTGTGTTGAGTTATTTTGAGTGGACAGCAAATTTACATGTTTACATGTTATACAAGCTGTACACTGACTACGTCACATTGTAGCAAAGTGTAATTTCTTCAGTGTTGTCACATGAACATATAGAATCAAATATTTACAAAAATGTGAGGGGTGTACTCACTTCTGTGAGATATTGTATATATATATATATATATATATATATATATATATATATACGAGACTACTCCTGCTTTTCTCGTCTTTGATCCACCCAGATCACGTAGGATTTATAACGGGCCGCCAGGCCCCAGATAGTATTTTTGCATATAGTTTCACATCTGTGTTTATAAGAGATATGGGTCTGTAATTTGCACAAACTGGGGATCTTTACCTGGTTTAGGTATTGTTATAATAGATTGTAGCATCTCTGTAGATAGAGCCAGAGGATGCAGCACCGTTGGAAGAGTTTAATTAGATGGGGAGACAAATTAGAGGCAAATTGTTTATATTCATTTATGTAACTGTCACCTCCAGGAGATTTATTTAATGGAAGGGTTTTAATAGCTTATTCAACTTCCGTAGGTGATATTGGTTCTGATAAGGTTTGAATTTGGGATGGAGAAAGAGTGGAGAGATTGACCGATTGTAAGAAATGATGTATGGAGGTGGGAGACGGTTGGGTAGTTCCTTTATAATCTTTACGGTTATACTGTATAGGGATTGATAGAAGTCAGCGAAGGCGTTTGCTATATCTAGAGGGTTTGTCTCAGAAGAGTTGGACATTGGATGATGGACCGAGTTTATTTTAGATTTAAGGCATTGTTGTTTAACCACTTCAAGTCCGGACACTTTCACCCCCTTCCTGTCCAGGCCAATTTTCAGCTTTCAGTGCTGTCACACTTTGAATGACAATTGCACTGTCATGCAACACTGTACCCATATGAATTTTTTAGCATTTTTCTGAGACAGATAAAACTTTATTTTGGTGGTATTTATTCACCACTGGGATTTTTTTTTTTTTGCTATATAAATGAAAAAGTCCAAAAATTTTGAAAATAGTGTTTTTATTATAAAATTTTGCAAAAAAATGTATCTTTTAATATTACATTTATCTTTTTAGTAAAAAATAACCCAAATTAGTTTATAACCAAAAATTATAATTTTTCAAAAACTTTTTTTACATTATTATTTTTGTTTATATTATTTATGTTTTATTTCTTAACATACTGTCACCCTACCAGTACAGTGTCACCATAGTGACACTGTACTACTTGTGGGGGAGTGATGAAGATTTATTTTTTAAAAGGCTGTAAAAGCAATCATTTCTCCTTCTCTCTGGCTGCATTCTTGCAACCATTGAGAAATATTGTGTGAGCTGTGATTGGTTACAGCTTGTCACAAGGTACAATGCTGTTGTGAATAGCCTTGTACCATGTGATCTCTGTGATCGTTCACAGATTTCACACGTAGTAAGCAATGATGTCAGAAGTGACATCTTGCTTACTCCTATTCATGTGTTCACTGATTGGCCAATCAGTGATCACATGATCAGGACCTCACACAGAGGTCCCGTACAGCGATCGGTGTTCGTGCACAGTCCAAAATGGCGGGAGCCGTTTATGAACGGCAACCCACCCCTGCACTGCCACCGTCTGCCCGTT